CTGCCGCGAGTCCCGACTCGGCCGGGAGCCGACGGCTCCCACCTGCGCCCTCCGCAGCGCCGCGCCCCTTTGCCCTTTGGGCCCCTTGGCTGATGCGTCTGGGCCCGAGGCCGGCCAGCGCCACTCTTGAGCGTGTGTGTCCGGCCCCCGGGTGGCCCTGCCCCCACTGGCCTTGGCAGCTTCGCCGCGAGCGGGTCATCTTCGCCATGCCGCTCATTTCCAAAGGCGCCTGGGGCGTTCTGGCTATTTCCTCTCTCAGTTCCGTGTAGAATCAGAAGCCAAGCTCTGGGAGCGGCCACCGAGAAGCCCGGGGCCGCCATCGACCCAGACTCGCGGTGGGCAGGAGTGGCTGTCCCGGCAGCGGCCCGCGCCCGCCTCAGCCTCCTGGTCTAGCTTCGGCTTCTCCCTTGCACATTTGCCGGAAGGTGTGGGAGCAGGTCTGCCCAGGCGTTGCTTAATTTTTGGTATTGGGGTAGGATCTGCCACACACGCTCGCGTGAGGGCAAAGCCCGGCTTTGGCTCTTCGAGCCCGTCGGCATCGGGGCTCTGGCAGAGCCTCTTCCCAGCGTCAGTCTGCAGCCTGTTGGGGTTTTCCTGCTGATTCTATCACTGCAAACTGTGACAGTCTCACGGGCTCCTCTGTCCCCCACACGGCTCTGAAGAGTGAGGTGACCGGGGCAGGGCCAGAGGAAGCCGCAGAGACGCGGCCGAGCTGGGCAGGTGGCCGAGGTGCTCGGGCGCCTGCCTGTGGCTCCCTATCTGCACAGGGAGCTCGTGCCCCTCTCTGGGCGGCGGGCATTCGGGGGAGGCTTCAGGAGCTGCCCGCGCAGGAGAGGTCTGCGGCGCTGGGTGAAGGCCCCAGGACCCCGGAGAGGCCCGCGCCCTTGGGGCGCTTTCAGGCGACTCGGGGCGCGGGTGGACGGAGGCTGAGGTGGGTTCCGGCTGCCGGGGAACCAGACCGCCGGTTTTGGCGACGGCACGCTGTGAGGCCCGTCTACTGAGAAATCGCTCCATTTGGAGAAAGGCGACATGTTGCTACAGGCCGCTCAGTGCTGGGTAGAAAAGGAAAAACCAAGTGGTGACGATAATTGTAATTACTGGCCTCAAATCTGAAACATTTATACTCAGCTCCAATTTGTTTTCTTAATAGATTATTTATCAGATGTAGTTTCAATTAAAAGCCCAGAAATATAAGCTCATGAAGCATAAGCTGCAGACAAATCAGCGTAAGATTAACGGCCAGCTCAACAGTTTGGCTGAAGGATGGCTTGGAAGAGGCGGGTGGGTTCAGCTCTCAAGACTGACTTCAAAGTGAGCGGCCCAGCGCCGCAGTCAGGCCTGATTTCACTCGTGTCCGGACTGCGGGCCCGGCCTGGGGGCCCAGAGACTCCCTCGCCCACGGCGTCTTCTCACCCCCAAGGGCGGCTTCATCCTGCCGTTCAGTCACAATTACACTGAGTTATTTTTTTTTTTAAGTTTACTTATGCATATACAAACTGGGGCCAGAGGTGTGTGTGTGGGGGGCGGTGAGAGGGCTCCCCAGTGACAGAGCGGGGAGCTGAACAGGCGAATTCACGGAAATCCACTGCTGAGGGGGGCAGCGGGGAGACTGGAGGGGTCTGCTGAGCCCTGGGTCACTCGCTTCCCCGGGGATCGAACTCAGGCCGCCGTGGCTGGTGATAGCTTCATCGTGCTGAGACTTAGCTCCTGTGCCACCAGGGAGGGCCAGTTTCTGCTTTTTTTTTTTTTTTTTAAGCAAATCGAATTCACTAAACGGCCGAACGGCTGGCCAACCGTGACGTCTCAGGGACAGAGACGCGCGGCCCGCGCTGCTCACGACTGTGACATCAGTGGCGGGGCATTTCGCCGTGGGGACCGGTGCAGGCGGCATCACCCGGGGTCAGCAGAGGCCCTCGGGGGTGCCTGCAGGGGAGCTGGCGGCCCACGTGCAGGGCGTCGCCCCCACCCCACGCGGAGGTGTGGAGAGGCCCCGTAAGGCCGCGCCCGCTCGGCCCGCTGGGTCTGGCGCGGGTGGGCCTCTGGCTGCCGCAGCCCCCGCCGTGAGGGGCCTGAGACCCGCGCGCCGGCCCGCAGAGAGCCCTGGCCTTCCGGAACTTTCCCTTTCTGACTCCGCGAGCTCCTCCCACCGCACGGGGGCGGCTGAATGAGACACTGTCCCATTAGCCACGGCGCCCGGTTCTGCTGACCCCAGACATTCTATTTCTACCAAGAAAACACAACGTAGAAATTAGTCCCAAACACACTTAACCACAAAATTATATCTTTTCCTTTGCAAAACCTCTAACCATGTATTTTATATACTGATTACTTAACCTAATACATTTCCCCATTCTGGTAAAATAAAATTTCCTTCTGTTTAATACTATCAATCAAACATAATGGTGGGGAGAGGAAGATGGAATAAGAACTCTTGAACTTGAAAATAGTAGCCCTCCACGGGAAGTCCAAGAGGAACTGTGTGACTCAGCGCGCACCGAATAAAAAGAAAGACGTTTTATATGCTAAGTTGCTAAGGAAAACGGCCTGGCCTTGTGCTAGGGGAGGACCCGCAGGCCAGGCCCTGGGATGCGCCAGCGGGTGTCCTGGGTGCCTTTCACCTTGGGAACCTCACGGTAAGCCCCCGCCCCAACACGCCAGGCCACCTTTAGTGTTCAGATCCCACGACACTAGTGGGAAGGGAGCTTCGGCGTCGCAGGCCAGCCCCGCCCTGTGAGCCCTGCCCGGCCCGACGTGGAGGCCCGGCGGCGTCAGCAGCCAAGCCGCAGGGATGGTGGGTGGCAGAGCCGGCACTGACGCCCAGGGCTCTCCCCCCAGCTCTGCTGCTGTCTGTGGAACCCTCCGGTCCACACTCGCCTGGAACAATTTCTCGAGCACAGCAGGCCTGCCGAGGCCACCCAGAGAAGTGCAGGACGGTGACGTCATTTCCAGAACCCAGAGCCACCTGCTGATGGGTGACGGCGGGTGTCTGTGCCGTGCAGCATGCGTGTGCATGCCCGTGGCACGGGCTGGCACCTGTCGTGCACGCCCGTGGCATGAGTTGGGGACCTGCCGCTCAGCATCTGCCCCACCCCCTTGGACAGGACACTCCACACAGGCCTTGGACAGCGCCCCGTACGTCACACCATCGCTTAAGACAAGTGACAGTGCATCGGA